ATAATTTTTTCTTTTTAAAAATAAAAATGAAAATATAATTACATTATTATAATTAATTTTATTTTTTTTATTTTTATAAAACTAATAATTTTAATAATAAAAAATAAAAATATTTTAAAAAATATACTTATTTGTTTTTAAACATATCCTTCTTAATCATTTAATATTAAACAACCATTAACTATTGTATAGTCAAACAATTATATTTATTGAATCCGCTATTTACCATCCGCTACTCACTTTTTGCTATCGACTACCCACTACCCGTTACCGCTATCCGCTATCTGCTGAATTTTAATCGCGGTACCAAATAAGCCTGGTGTCAAATTGTGATTACGTAGTAGTGCTCCAATCCCCATCCTTTGCTCGAGTTCCCCCATATGATGCTGTAGTTTGATGAGCTAATTCCACTCTAGCAAATATACTAATCCGTTCAAGTAATATAATGATGAAAATAGAGTATCGTCCCACAGAAACCGTAAACTAATTAAGTACCAAAATTAATGAATTCTAATTTTATTTGAACAATTGAAATTAAATGATTTGAATGAATTAAATAACTAAACTAATTAAAGAAAAACTAAATTAACTTTGAGTAACACTAAAAATTAAAAGTCTAAGGCATCCGACTTCACAATCATCAACTAATATAGAATTTAGATCAATATACTTCTAAGGTATTTATTATTTATGTGACAGCGAGATTTCCTATTTTATTCAATATACTTTGTCAAGTTATACCAAACTTATCTTCACCTATTAACCCACTATATCTCTATGTGAATTTAAAAAGATAAAAATGCATTATGTTTTATGAAATTCCCTAATTTAGGTAGAAAATTAAGTCCACTTATCACTAATGCTGCACAAATCACGTTGGTCCATCTCTGGCTTTCATTTAATTCATGATATATATTATTAGAAACTATTGCATAAAATCTCCTCTCGGTCTCAATTATGCTCTCCAAATTAGTTTTAATGGTGACCAATCATTAAAAAGCATTAAGAACAATAATATATACTCTACATGAAATAATAACTTTTGAAAGTATAAAAACAATAATTTAGCTTTAGATGGCTAAATTAGTTCATATTAAACATGATAAAATCTGAGAATTGATGAACCACAATTTCATATCCAAATAAAGGAAAAAGTAAGTTTAGAAGAGTAAAACCCAATTTGTGGAACACTAGAATCAGATTTGTAGCCTTCACTGTTACGCTTGTCCCCTTTTGTTTTCGATTGAAGTGTCCCCAGTGGCTACCTTTGCTTCTGCCTCGCACAGAATCCTCGCAAGCTCTGCCTCAAACTCGCCTTCCAAGCTCTATGTCGGCTGCCCTTTGATTTCTGCAGTCACCCCTTTGGAAGTCTCTTCGTCCGCCTCCCAAAATCCCCTTTTATATCCAACAATGTGCCCTCCTTTAAAAATCTCCGTGCCCTTCTTTAGAAAGTCCATCTTATCTACACAATAAGATAAAGCCCACAATGTTGTGCCACCTGTATGCGGATGAAAATTTCTTTGAATGGGGAAATTATGAAATTAGACTTGATGTTTTCAACTTTTGTCACTTCAACCCATTTACTCTCGATTTTTTTAGTTTTACTCTCTACCTACAAAAAATGATAAAAGCAATGTAAAACCAAATAAAATCGTTCTAATAAAATATAAAAGACTATAATTCATGACCAAAAAACCATGTATAATTGTATGAAATTTAGGCTCATCAAATTATTTCTTTCATCCAATTAATTTCTCATTTTGTTTTTGAAAATTGAATTTATTGGAAATTAATTTTAATTGAAACTCTGAGAAAAATTTTCAAATAAATACCTGCAAGAAAACCCATGAACTGGGTCCATATCACGACCCCAGGTGGATTCTCTCCTGCAATTGAAATATTTGGTAAGACTTCAAAACTTCAACAACGGTGTGTAAACTATAGAGGTCAAGGATTTACCAGATATCTGTGGCTCGGTCTAGCTCCTCTTCAGATAAGAGGCGAAAACCGATCCTTTTCACAATCCAGAGATGGGATCCGTTAGATCCGTCAGCAACGTCAGTCTCTACTTTAATATTGAATCTCTTGCATTCATTCACCAAACTTGGTGTTCTCCAACAGCTGACCCACATGACTCCACCTTTATGGTCCTTAAAGGCCCACGGAAGGCGCGTCCGGTAGTGACGAGAAAAATCCTCATCCTCTATTGTTATAGCTAAAGTTAAAAGATCAGGATCTATAATATGACAAATAACACATACTGCAAGCCCTTGGAAACTTCCACTTGAAACTCGAGGCACATCTACAATTGTACAAGCAACATTATCCTCATGATTAAACCCACAGGGCATCGTTCCTTCGGGAAGAAAGATGTTATAAATCGGCTCCATATAATCAGAAAAACCCTGCAACACGGACAATTCATTTAAAAAAAAAAAAGAACAAAAAAAGCCTTGCCACATAAAAAAATGAGAATTGTGTCTTCTTAACTTTGGAAAATTTGAGAAGGACAGAGAGCAAGAGAGTAACCTGAATGGAACGATCCTTACTCCAAGTAAGTATGAAGTCTCTGAAAAAAACCGAGCACTTCTTTAGCGAAGCCTTCAATCCCAACAAGTGCTCTAACTTAGCAAGTTGCTTGCCAGTTAAATATTTCACAAAGCAGAAGCTCAGAAACGAAGAAAATTCATAAAAACTACGAAGGATTGGTCTAAGACTTCTGTCACTGAGCCCTCCTTTGAATGTTACTTTCTCCAAAGAATCGCAAATGCATTTGATCAATATCGTGCCTGATTCAAATTCTATTACTTTGAGCTTATTGCATTGCACTAGGGAAACCTTGGTTTTAAGAGGAAGGGAAGTAAGATCAACTGGTAGGCTGCAGAAGTTGTTTCTGCTTAAATTCAATTCCTGCAAAAAGGGGCTTGCAACAACCAAGGGACCTGATGTGTCTGATAGATCACATTGAGAAACATCAAGCATTTTTAACTTCGGTAAATTTGATAGAAAAATTGGTAAGTGTTGAAAAGCATTTCCTCTTAGAAGCAACGTCTCCAAATTTTGTGAGCCACTGAGATCTCTGGGAAATGAATTATCTGATAGTTTGCAGAACGACAGATTCAATTCTTTTACTGAAGTCAGACTCCACAGCGGAGACAAATCATAGGTACCTGGGCTTTCAAGCAAAGATCCCTCATTGTTCCAAAAGAAATTTGTAAGATTCTTAAGATGGCCAATGGACATGGGTAAATGCTTGATGGCAGTGCAGCCTATATTGAGCTCTTTCAAACTTTCCATGTTCCCAAAATCCTCTGGCAACTCCTCTAGTTTTGAGCAGAGATACAAGTTAAGATTCTCAAGGAACCTTAACTTACAAATCTCCGTAGGAAGATGAACAAGGTTCTGGCAGTTTTCCAAGTCCAGGTAAATGAGTTTGCTAAGATTGCCAATGGACTGATGAACCTCAATCAAATTAATGCAGCCTTTGAAGATCAATTTCTCAATGTTTAAAAGACCTGAGATGTCTGAGGTTCCAATTAAGTCATGTGAGTGACTGAGATCAAGGACTTTTAGATTTCTAAGAACCTGCAAAAAGGATGAGCATCATTTAATGTTTATATAAAGAAATAGCAACTCTAGTCAACAATAATCCTACCCGAAACAAGAAACATATACAGCCATACCTTAGATACATCCCAAATATATTTGAGTTTGCTGTTCCTTAACCTCAGAACAACCAATTTTTTGAGATTTAAACTTGATGGTATAGATACCTGAGAATATCTTTCCCAACACAACCATCTTAACTCTTTAGAAAAATGTTCAAACTTTCCAACAAAGTTAGCATTTCTGAGTTGGAGTATTCTCATTTTGCTCATCCGTGCAAGTGCTTCAGTATCAAATGGTTTCTTCCTTGTTTCTGAGAAGAACCCCTTAAGGCCTATGACTTTGTTTGTACCCTGATGACAATAAGCAATAACAATGTTTTACATAACAATCAATGTACTCCTTAAACAAGGAATTGGAGACTGGACAATAAGCAAAGGCTATCAGGGTTTACCTCATAGTTTTTCAGCACCTTACGAACATCCTTATTAAAAGACAGCCTGCTGCGTTCACCAGGTTCACTAAGATTTTCTCTATGAACAATTTCTCTCGCCATCTCTTGAAGTAGATCATGCATTCTCAGCTTCTTTTCTCTTATTGTTAAGAGGCACTTTTGGATAAGACTACGTAGATGGATTTTCGTATGGAAGCCACAACCATCTAGTATTTGAATTGTATCGTCTTCATCCATCCCTACAAAGAAGAATGCAATGTCGAGAAAAATGGCCTGTTGATGGTCATTCAGTGAATCAAAACATATTTTAAATCGTTCAAAAATCTCTCCATGGGGAGTGCTTTTAAGTTCCTCCAATGCACTAGTCCACTCAAGTAGATTTTTGTCTGATAAGAAAGAACCCAGAACTTTAAGAGCTAATGGATGTCCTCCAGCATATCTCATGATCTCATGAGAAAAGTCAGCATAACCATCTGGCGGACAAAGTTGTCGAAAGGCATACCAAGAAAAGAGTTGCTCAGCATAAAGAAAGCATAAATTTCGGACCTCATACTTGACATCCACTCCATGAGCATTTAGCAAATGTTCATCTCTACATGTTACTATGATTCTACTGCCAATGCCAAACCAACTTCTCTCTTTAGAAAGACCTGCAAGTTGGTCCAAATGGTCGACGTTATCTAGGATGATCAGAACCTTTTTGTACTTCAATCGACCTCTAATCTTATCAATTCCATCATCAATATTACTCAGTTGCAAGCCTCGGACCCTCAAGATGTCACATAGAAGTCTCTTTTGTAACTCAACCAGTCCACCATGTTTAGATCCTAATTGGACGTCTTCAAGCAAGCTGTTACCATCAAATTCTTGAAAGATTCTATTCCTAATTACCTTGGCAACTGTTGTCTTCCCTATTCCAGGCATTCCATAGATTCCTATGAAACGAACATCTTTGGAGCCAAGTCTCAAGAGTGATATTATTCTCTCCACCGGAGATTCAATTCCAAAAAGGTGGTTCACATCACTTAGGTAAGTGGGATGCAATTTTTCCCAAACATCTTCAATAATTTTCTTGATCAACTCGGACTCATCCCTGGTCGTTGTGAAAACAATTAAACATTAGAGTTGGAATCCAACTATGTCCACTTTAAAGATGTTGTGCTACTTCTACTAAATCAGCAAGTAATTGTAGGCATGAGAAAAGGTATTTTCAGTACGAAATGGCTCAACAAATGACTACTTAAAAAGAATGAAAATTTGGCAACAAGGGAAGAAATTTATCCAAATAATCATTCAAGCAATGACTAGATGACTAGATTACCTGTTGACACTTTGTAGATCAAATCCAGCCAGATTGGCAGCATTGGTAAGAGCAGTCTTCCACTTTTCTACTTTGTCTACCGTAACCTTCTGGTGATGAGCACGAGTAAATGCTTCGCCAAAGATCCCCCTCTGGTTGCGGACGTCTGAGGGATCCACATGAAAGAAAACGGGTAGAACCATCTGGCCTAACTTGTCCCTGCAATCGAGGATTTTGACCAGCTCGTCCAGGCACCATCTAGAATCAGCATAGTTTTTGGAGAACACGAAAATTGCAATTCTCGAATGCTCGATGGCTTCTAGTAGGCTGGGGGCTATGTCGCTTCCTCTTTCGAGCTCATTGTCGTCTTTATATGTCCTGAATCCCACCTGGTTTAAAGCAGAATCGAGATGACCAAGAAAATTTTTGCGGACATCTTCACCTCTGAAGCTCAAGAATACGTCATAATTCCAACAAGTGTTCGATGGAAAAGAAGAAGCCGTAATCAATGGAGTATGGAACATGACGGGTTTTTTTGTCGGCAGCATCAGACCAAATCTCGTTATGAAGGTGGTTTTCCTCTCAACTCGGACAAATTAAAAGTAATAAACTAATAAGAGGAAGAGACTGAAAGACCTACCTAGCGACAGATCCGTGCTACGTCAACGACGACGGCAGCTGCGGCGGCGGCGGCGGCGGCGGCGGCTATTGGATCGAGAGAGAGAGAGAGAAGCGAATCGAGGTTGGAATGGTCAGGACTCGCAAAGTTCTGTGATTTTTCGTTTCCGCTAATGGAGAAGAAAAACATGGTTGTAAAATATATAAAATGACAAAAGTACCCCTCTTTAATGACGTGTCCTTCACCAATTGGCTGCTATCGAAACGGCAACGGAGAGCGTCAATCCCCGCCGTCTTTATGAAAGAAAAGTCACTCACCGGCAATTAGAAAACGACACCCTGAGAAGTTCCGATTTCGCTAATATACATCGAAGATTACGGTCTAGGGTTTTGATTTCAGAGCTCTGAAGCAATTCAATGGAGGGTGCATTAGCTAGCGCCTCTGTGATCGCGGACCAGAGGCAGAAAATCGAGCAGTACAAGCACATTCTCTCCACAGTTTTCTCATCAAACGACATTGTTCAAGCCAAGAAATTCGTTGATCACGGTAACTGCTTCGTCTT